AAAGCATATTTCTCAACTGTATTGGCTCTTCATCCATAGCTTCTGGCTCACAGCTCCCATAAGACTTGGAATTTCCTAAGTCTGAGAGTGATAAAGATGTCTATTGTTATGGGAATGAGGTGACCTGATGGGGGTTGATTGCCAGAGAAACAACTACATGATTAGTGGGTTGGAACTTAATGGCAGAGGAGAGAGGGGTAGCTTTAAATTGCCAGTGGTCTTAGATTCCTTCAATCATGCCTAATGAAGCCTCCATGTTGGGGCACTAGTCCAGTTCCACATGTCACCTCGTTGGTAAACTCCTATGTTCCTATTCATCTGGATGTCGATTCAGTCCTTAGTGACCTTTGTAATAAACCAGTAATCTAGTGAGTGAACAGGCTACCTGAGTTCCATGAGTCATTCTAGCAAATTCTAGCAAATTTTATGCTAGAGGAGGAGGGGGTTCCATTAACCCGCCTTCGATTTATAGCTGGTTGGTCAGAAGTAAAGGTGACAGTTTGGACTTGTGGACAGCAGCTTGGGAGACAGAGCCCTTAATTAACCTGTGAAATCTGTTGCTGTCTCTGTGTAGTTAGCATCAGAAGTGAGTTGAATTCTCAGACCACCCCCGAAACTTTTGGAGAGCTAGTTGCGGGTAGGGGGAAGCCTCCAAACACTCAGATTGTAATAGGGTCCCTGAACCTCACACAACAAATCAATTACACATGAACATGTAATTTCTCTACCTTTTAAAAAGTTAATTTTTTTCTGTAGACTAAAGACCAATTACACTTATGAATGTGGATAAATAAAAGCAAAGCCAAAATTACTAAGCACTGAGTCATACCCCTCAGCCTGATCAGATGCCTGCCCAGCATGCCAGGTCACTAAATTCTTTGGGGCTCAGTGACTTGCAAAGTTGAGGGAGCATCACCCAAAGACTCACTGAAACTCAGAGTCTGCCTCCCCAAACCACCCACCTCCCACCACGTGTCTTTGATTCAATGTTTGCTGGGGTGGGCCCAGGCATCTGCATGCCTAATAATCCCAGATGCTGCAGCTGCTGGTTCAGAAACAGCACGTGGAGATGCACTGTGGACTCTTATGCTTTCTATACTCCATATTGCACCTGCAGTAAAATCACTTTGGGGATTCAAGTGCTCGCTGTCAATCTCACAGGCCTGGTGATGGGCATTGCTGCTGAAAGCTATTTAGGTTCCATTAGATGATTAATAATGAGGATCAGCAGCTTTGGATCCAAAGCTCTGATACAGTGGCATGTTGACAAAACATTGGGGGGAGAGCAATCCTGTTAGTACCAGCTTTGATGTGTGAAGAGCCTTTGCCTACTGAATGCCAGCTATCTTTACAATAAAAAAGTGAAGGTTATAAACCAATGTTACCTCAAAAACAAGCAAGTAAATAAATAAAACAGAAATTTGACATTAGTGAAGTCTTGAGAAATGAGGTTGGTGACTACGATGACATGTGAGCGAAGGAGCCCAGTTCTAGACAGAGTGTCCCCAGTAGATTTCCAGACTCATTGTAGCTCAGATGTCTGCCTGCGCTTTATGACATCCATATTAAAACACACATAGGGTTTAGCTCTCTGAGCTAAGGGTGGGACTCGATTCTGTCTTTAGAAGGAGAAGAATTTAATAGAAGTGAGCAGAGCTGCTTGATCTACCTGAATCCTTGGTTCCTTGTCATTATCTGGCCAAGTGTGCTATGCACAAGTTCACTGCAGGACAGGTTAGCACCATGCTGAAAGCCAAGGTAGAGGGCAGCGGTGGGAGCTCAGGTCAACCTTGGGTTACAGTAGTGGGGTGCTCTCCTCTGCTACTTGGAGTGTCTACTGTATTAAAGAGTCATTCTTGATACAACGGACTCATGGGGTGGGGTGCAAGTGAATAATGGGGCAGCAGAGACTTTGAGGACCCCACTGCTAGGTAGTTGTAATCAACCTGAAGCACAGGTATGACAGCCATGCCCCAGTCCTGGGGCCCAGTTCCCTCCAGCCCCTCCCTCCCCTCTCTCCACCATTAATTTAGACCAAGTCCTAAGGCTGACTCCAAGCACAGTTTCACATTTCCTTCCCAAAAATATCATTGCAGTAACAGCAAACACAGAGTAACTTGATGAGTGAAGGGTAAGAATCCCAAATTTCATCTGCTATATAAGAAAGATGTTCTGAACTGACTACCAAGAAATCTGTGACTCAGAAGGCTGAGGAACTTGGGAAGACAGACTGTGGGGCAGGGATCCCAGATAACCCTCCTCAGGAAGGAAGATATCATTAATAGCCAATGACATTCCCTCTTCAAGATACCAATTTCCTGCAAAGAGTCAGGGGATCATAATCATCGAAGCAAGCCCCAACTGACAGGTAGCTGTTTCTGCAGCATCCCATTTGCTTTTATTTTACTCTTGGCATCTTGGCTGGAATGCCACTCAGAAGAGCACTGGAGAACAGATATAATTCGCAAGACAAGCCCAGTGCCTGGTAGGATCACTTATCAGAGCATAGAGAACAGCCACAGTCACAGGTTTCCCTGAAGGCAGGAAGAAACCAAAGCCTGGGAACATGAAAGGCTGTGACAGCAGCGTTGGCGGCAACCAAAAATTGAAGCCCAATTACAGAATCTCCATCTGTGTGGCAGCCCATCTTCAGGAGGACCCCCACTGATCCCTGCCTCTGGGTACTCACCTGGAGGAGTCCTCTCCCACTGTGAACAGGGGTGACCTGGGTACCCAACGCATAGTGCAGAGATGATGATATTTGACTGCCAAGGCTAGGTCATGAAAGACATCCTAGCTTCTGCCTTGACTCTCTTGGATCTCTCACTTCCAGTATGAGCATGCTCTAAGCAACACTATGGAGAGGGCACGTAGAAGGATGCAGCAGCCAGCAGTCCCTTGCCATAACAGCATCACCAGCGTCACCTCACCAGCTGTGTAAATGAACTGCCTGGAAGCGTGTCCTTCAGCCCCCATCAAGCCTTCAGATGCTCACAGTCCAACCAACACCTTGACTGCAACCTTATGGGAGAGCCTGGCCAAAACCACTCAGCCACACTGCTTTCAGATCCCTGATCTGCAGAAAATGTGTGAGATAAAATATGTATTGCTGTCTTATGTCACTAGCTTTTCTTGTAATGTATTATGTAGCAAGTATATCATTAATGTGCCCTTCCAGGTATACCAATACATCTGTTTCCATGGGAAACTGACTTTGTTCCTGGTGCGAAGCCTTGTCAGAATGCTGAAGATGGATAGTCTGCACCCTCCTAAGAATATCAGTGCTTCCTTATATTATTATCCCTTGCCAGCTAACCAGAGGCAGAAACCTGTCTTTCTGCTGCTCATCCAGACCATCTTCAACCACCATCATAAAGTTAACACACATAGCAAACACACACATGTACACATGCACATGCACACATATATACACATATATACACATGCACACACACAGCATCCTTTTAAACGTGAAAAGCCACTGAAGTGTGGTGAACATGAACTTTTTTCCAGGAAGGATTGAGTGCTCTGGATGTTTTCAGTACCATTTTTTGCTCTGGATGTTTTAAGTATCTTATTTTCATGCTGTCTCTGAATGGGAAGATGGGATTGGGGCTCAGCAGAGAAGGCTAACTACCAAGAATGATCAATGTTTCTCTTCTCTGCTAATTATAAAAGTTTGAGCTGGATAAGCACCAGGAGGAGAGGGAAGACACAGCCACAAATCTGTGATGCTTGCATTCGTTTAACTATTTCAAAATGGAATTTTCCCTTTATTCTCTTTCCCCCATCATGTTTATCAACCTCGGAAGGAGGAGCATGTTGGGTAAGACACATACACAGAGGCTTCATGAGCATAATAGCATGTCTGCATTATGCTAGAGACAGTCAATACAGTATAAAAAATGTTTTTTTTTTTTTTGGTCTGGGTTTCTTTTGCTGTATAAATGTTCTACTGTGAAAAACCTGGAAGACCTGAGGCCTCTACTTAAGGTGTTCATCAGATACCTATAGCACATTCCCCTGAGAGGGGGGGTGGTCAGAAGAGGACTGAGCTTCAAAGGACCTGCAGTTCTCCAGGCTGTAGTGTGTCCTGAAGGCAGAGACAGAGTACAAAGCACTCAAAGTGGGGAAAAAAGGGTAAGCAGAGAAGGACAGAAACAAAAGGCAAAAGCACCTCCCAGATGCACATTCATTGTGGATCTAGAAGGGCAGAAAGATAACCAGATGGGAAATAATTTTTTTTCCATCTTCTTAAATAAGACGTTCATTTTTCATTTCTGCCAGAGGACTCTGTCTGTCCTTCTGAGTGTGGAGTCATTCATAAAAGGTTACATGTGAACTGCTCTCATCACATGGTGAGCGGGCACATGGAAGTCCTCCTCAAGGAAAAGAACCTGGGCTGACCATCACCATGGATCTAGGAGACAGTGTTCCTTCACTGTACACTGCAGTGTGGATGTCAGAGCCCACCTTGCTCCCCTGTCCCGGATCTCTCTGCAGTCTTCATATACACAGCTTGCCTTGATGAGCTTGTCCTTGCCTATGATTTCACCCACCAGCTCTGATGAATCCCAAATCTACATCTGCAGCTCCAACCTCAAGATCCAAACACATGAGGCAACCAGGATCTCCTGGAACCAGGGACAGAAATGGGCTCAAACAATACCAGTGTGGACTTTCTAAGACTCGGAGGAGAAAGAATTTCATGAATCAGAAGTAGAAGACACTCATTTCTCCAAAAATGTAAAAACTGTTTCTGATATAAGGAGAAGAAGGAGATATTTCTCTCTTCTAAATCTTAAATGAGCATACTTTTCAGTCTTTGTTTAGAGGACTTAGTAAAGACCTCAACTTAGACAGCCAATTCAAGTACTGTATGTGACAACAGTCTAGAAGAGATCTTCTTGAGCTCAACAGAAGCTCAAGAATTCAGAGTGAAAAGTTAGTCATAGACTCATGTTGACTGTTAAACTTAATCTTAAAAAATTCTTACTTACCTGCCAGAATATGCTGTCTATTGTGTTTCCAAGAAAACCATCTCGACCTTCTGAAGACACCAGTTTGGGACCAAGAATTGTCATGAATTCGTCGAAATCCACCTGGCCATCCCCTGGAAGAAAGAAGAGATATAATCATGAGTTGAAAAGCAGCTGAAATTGACCCACTGCCCAATAGGTAACTCTACACTTTTGTCCTTGGCATGGCCTCAACCAATGAAGAAGTAGTGGTATCATTACTGAACATTGTGTAACATTCTTGAAATACCAAAAATACCACAAGAAACTGGCCATTATTAGTACATCCAATACCACATAATCATTTGTGGACTTGAGCCAACTTAGACAAAAGCAGACCTTCCAGGAATTGTCCAAGCCTCCATGAGTCATCAGTGTGGAATTCTGCAGCCTTGGGACTGCAGAAGAGGGTATTTCTACCAAGAGCTCATCACCTGTTGGCCTCACCAGTGAAGCCAATCCCAGTGTCTGCACAGGAGCTTGCCAAAGTGCTGGTTCATCAGTCCACTCTCAGAGTCTAACCACCTTCAAAGAGCCCTAATTCAAACCCCATTTCAAAGAACTGAGCAGATGTCATCATCAGGATGCTCATAATTCAGGAAAGATGGTCCCGGAACAGTTCCCAGTACAGATACAACTTCCTAGAGGACAAGCGAGGTGTGGCAAACCAGTGAGAGGGTTAGCCTTTAAATGAGGTGGGACAGTCAGTAGACTATGGAGATGAAACTGATTGCTCCCTCACCATTCAACAAGACAAAGAGATCTAAAATTTTACCCTTAGTAGCCCTCATTAGAATGCTAATTCAAGCAGCAAATGAGTTACCATCTTTCCTTTCAAATGAGCAAGTATTTCTAAAAAGAACATTACTCAAAGCTGGCAGAATCAAGGAGAGAGAAGCTCTGATATGGACATCAACTGGTAATACATTCTTGTACCTACTGAATTATTAATTCACTTTTTTATTGCGATAAACAGTATATTAGCTTCAAGTGTACAACATAATGACCTGCTGTTTGGATATAGTATGAAATGATCACCACAATGTCTAGTTAACATCCCTCACCATACATAGCTACAGATGTTTTTCTTGTGATGAGAATTTTTAAGATCTATTCTCTTAGCCACATTCAAATATGCAATACAGTATTAGCTATACTCGCCATGCTGAATATTACATCCCCACGACTCATTAAGATTATGTGAACTTCACTTTTAAGAAAAACACAAAGCAAGAAAATTATCTTAAAGGCAAGATGTTTGCCCAAAGACAGTCACCTGGGATTTGCAAAAGTGGAACACTGGACCCTGGAGGAAGAGGAGAGTGGCCAGCGCGCCAGCATTCTCCTAGATCAGCTCCACAGGTGCTAAGTCTCAGACAGGCACACCTGCTTATACATACACTCTGCTCTTTACCCCAAATCACCCCCTTTCTTCATAGAGGGGCTGGCTGGCCAAAAAGTCTCAGACTGCATGTCATTCTCAATAGACAGCATCACCCCCCCAGTGATGATGTTGGTAATATCTGACATTTACTGGGCCTCCCCTGGCGGCACAGGTGGTTAAGTGCAGCACTGTGAAGCTCTCCACAGCCTCTGCAGCACTGGTTCAATCCTGGCTGGCCGGCAAGAATCCCACCCAGAGAAAATCCCACATGGCGCGGCAGACCTCTCCGTCTCGCCCGCTGCTCCCCTCAGCAGTGTATTTTGTCAGTCTGCCTGTTCTGTTCCCCGCTCTGTCTCTGATGAATCTCTCACCCTCCTGCGCATCTGGCCTGTACCCTGGTTCCTGTATGCATGAATAAACAAATCTTTTAAAAAAAAATCTGACATTTACTGATCACTCACAAAGTGGTGGGCAAGTTCACAGGAGTCCCCACATGTTAGTTCACTGAAGGCTTCCAGAGCCCATTTGATTGATAAGATAGTTGAGGGCCTCCTTGGTGGTGCAGGTGGTTGAGCACAGCGCTGTGGATCTGTCCATGGCCTCTGCAGTACTGGTTCGATCCCCACCAGCCTCGGAGCAACCCACATGGCAAGCAGACCTCTCCTGTCTCACCTGCTGCTCCCCTCAGCAGTGTATTTCGTCAGTCTGCCTGTTCTGTTCCCTACTCTGTCTCTGGTGAATCCTCTTGCCCTCATGCGCATCTGGCCTATACCCCAGTTCTTGTATGGATAAAAAAAATCTTTAAAAAAAAGAAGAAAGAAAGTTGAGGCACAGCAAAGCTCAGCAGCTTGCAGAAGCTCACACAGGAAGAAGGGCTAGGATTCTAGCCCCAGTTGCCTGCCTGTGCTTTTGCAGCCTCTCAGGAGGCCTGGTCATGGAGAGGTTCTAGGAGCACTCATCCCAGTCTTCTCTGCAGGGAGTGCTCTGGGGCCTGGTACAGAGAGAGAACTGAACCCTGAATTGCTCTCTGTGGCCAAGCTGTTGGGAGTTGGTCGGCTGCTAGTAGCCTCAATCATTTAAAAGAGTAATGAGGGTCTCCCTGGTGGCACAAGGGGTTAAGAAGCAAACTATGAAGCTGTCTACAGCCTCTGCAGCATGAGTTCGATCCCCGGCCAGCCAAAGAGCAACCCGCATGGCATAGCAGACCTCACCTGACTCGTCCGCTGCTCCCCTCAGCAGTTTGCTTTGGTCAATCTGCCTGTTCTTTTCCCCACTCTGTCTCTGGTGAATCCCCTCACCCCCCCACACCTCTGGCCTGTCCCCCAGCTCTTGTATAAATCTTTAAAAATAAATAAATAAAAGAGCAATGACAGGTGATAGAAAATATTTATTCAACATGCACTATATATGCCAGACATTGAACACAGCACTTTACATGTTTCCTCTTGTTTGATTCTACCCCCACATGACTGGGTTCTCCCATTCTGCACTGCACCCATGAGAAAGCTTTAGCAAGAAAAGATAGAAAATACCTAGATTAAGGCCAGATAGCTAGCAGGTGCCAGCCCAGGGACTTGAGTCAAAACACCAGATATTAACTTCCACATTGCACCCCCAAGCCCTCTGTTAGAGACCCCAGTGTGAGTCCTAGGTTCATATCTCCTCTCAAAGTTTGAGAGTGGACTGTACTTTCCTGCCTGCAAATGTGGGGAACTGGAAAAGGTGCCCTCAGGAGTCTTGATGCAGCGATCATCACCCAAAACCTATTGGCTATTCCATCACCACTCTACCTGCAAGCCAGGCCTTGGTACTTCTCCTTATATGGCCAATTCTCAGAGGTCCCAGGTCTCTCATATACAATCTCCAAGCATCTGAAGCCTCTTTCAGGTTTGGGGAATGAGACCTGCCCAGGCCCAGCAGGATGACATCAAACCAACATTCTGGATTCATATCCCCCCCACTAACAACCCACCCCCTACCTGCCCCCCTACACATACACACCACCCAGGTTACATTTCAAGGAATACACTAGACAGTGACTGAAAAACTTCATGAGGCTAAATTGTCTTTGAATCTTAAACAAGCAACTGCGGAAGGAAAGAACAGAATTCACTATTGCAGGCCTCCTCCTCCTCCCTCCTCAGGCTTCCAAATATCATGATCTACTTAGCAAGAAGTGCAGGAAGCTAACCTGCTAAGGACTGCGTCTTGTTGCTTCCCGCTGCTATGTAAGTCAAAGTAATGAACTTGAACTAGGGCAGGAAGCTGCGGGAGGGCCAGGACTGGATGACATTCGTTAAGACCAACCAGCTGAAATTTCCACAGAGGTAAAACAACAATAAAAACAGTACAAAATAGGAAGAAAGGGAATATACGGTGGGGAGGGGGGAAGAATGGGCACTGAAGGGTAACAAAGAGACAGGTTACTGATGGAGAGTCTGCACTGGGAGTGTTACGAATTGAAAGAGGGAAAATAGAAATAACCACAAAAGAGCTAGAGGAACATTATCCTGAATACCCAAAGAAACAATTACTTCTGAAAAACACTCACTAGGAGATAGAAGGAAGCTTAAGGAACACCTGCTTTGTATTCCCAACATGCTAGGGGAAAAAAAGAGCCCCCCAGAAACAAGTTTGGCCAGATATATGAGGGTGTGGTGAGAAGACAAGAGGCTGAAATAGGAGTGAAATGGAGAGGGATGTGACTTGAATGAGGAGGAAAATGCCAGGACACTAACACTGCACCAGCAAAGTCAAGGTCAACTAGGGAGCCACTGGCAGGGAACTGCAACTTGTAACTTAAGTCCACAAATATTTACCCAAACCCATTATTATGTGGCAGCCTTTGTGTGAGGCCCTGGGGACACTGGGGGAAACAGAAGCACATCAGCACCGTCTTCTTGGAAATGAGAGTTCAGCCGGGAAGATGGACAAACTAGGAATCACAGAGCACAGCTGCTACCAGGGGAAATGCCACAGAAGCAGAAAGCAGGGATGCTTGACATTGTCTAGAGCAAGGGTCTCCACGCTGGGAGAAAGGCAAGGGATGCTCAAGAGTATTCACTACGGTGCTAGAAAAAAATATTAAGGTCCCATTCATATCTGTTGTGTCCATCCTTTGCCATATCTACTTCTTGGGTATGTGTTATAAAAGCCGAGATATTAGAGTAGTACAACTATACATAATACAATAAATAAGTAACAGGGAGGGAGGTAGAAAAGAGACCATTACGTATAGGGAAAGTTTAAATCTGTACATTATAAATTTTCAATTTTATACATCTCGGTATTATATTTCTATGTATGTTAGCTAAAATAGTGCATTACTACACTGATTTTATGTAGGCAAACATAAGTGCTATTTGAAAAATATTGTGTCATATTATGGGGGAGGGGAACACTTGCAGTGAAATAATAAATAACAACAGTCACAGAGACAAGGTATGAATTACCCAGAGCCTTTAACTTATTCTAAATAAAGACAGGGAAATGAGAGAGAAGATGACAGAGGTAAAAGACAGAAATTAGTGACTCAAATTTCATAAGGAAGAAAATGTGTCTGAGAATATTCAAAGGTAAAACAATGAGGCATTTTCAAGAACTGAGAAAGGTGGGACTTTGATATACTATCAGTCAGTTGCAGATCAAGCAGGCAAAAATGAATAATAGTTGCCATTATTGGGATGAACTATAGGTCAGGCACATGGCCAA